ACCTGCCAGGAACAAGTGTGCAGTGAGGTCCTAATGGCTGGGTCGTAAAACTTTTTAGATTCCTGCTTTTTATGGGAAAGGCTGGAAAAGCAGTAGGACTTGAAAACGCCTTCTTTTCACAGTTTTGGTTAACTAGAGGTGGGCTTGAGTGGATCAGAGGCTATTTTTCCAGTTTTTCCCCCTTTGGCTTTGTAAGGTGTGAACAGTATGGGGCATTTAATAGCAGCTGAGAACCAGGCAGAAACTCATTTGCTAACCAGCCTTTCAAGGATTCATTAAAAACTGTGGGTAAAACAAACAAACAGAAAAATATATATGTCAGCAAAGGCGCTCATTAGCCAAAGAAAATGATAGTCAGGTTTAAAATAGGCACTTGCTGTGTCTTGTCTTGACGTAATGCAGGAGTTCAACCTGATCGGAGATATCGCCGACTAACCACCACATTCTTGGAGTGGCAGGCACACACATCAACAGAGAGCAGAATGTAGACTCCTTTTCACCTCTGACCTCAAAGCAGTCAGAGCCACATAAGGTGGTGTTCTGGCATCGTGGTGCATTTGGAGCCAGTATTGCTAAATAAAACTCCCTTTCACATGTTGATTTAAGCATTGCAACACTGAATTCCTCTCAAAGGAATCAGAGCTCCCGTATTACCTTTGCTGATACTTCACACCTCAACTGTTAAACGTTATTTTTGTTTTTGTTTTCATTTGTTTTTTTTTCCATCTGTCAGCATTCAACCTCACTCCTCTGGTTTGGCTTGGCTTGAGTTCTCTAGTATTTCTGGGCAAAGTAACAGTACAAACAGCTGTTACTAGCGAGTGTGCATGCATATATGTATTCCTAAATTTGACTCATTTTCTATTCCATACTGTGATCAACATTTAGTCTTCTCACAGGCTTTTAATTATTAGGTCGAACCTGCAAACACTCAGCATTGACCCGGCATTCTTTGATCAGCGGGTTCACATCAGCTTACCCATCATGCTTCATCGTGCTGCAGGGATTAGGTTTGTCAGGAGTTGTTATGTTAACCATCGTGTTATCAGCTGGAACATGCTCACTTTGGGTTTGTCTGCATCTCCCACACTTGGCAGGGCTATGACACTCATGGTTCATCCTTACTCTGTTCTTTTCCAAGTAGTTGACCTTTTTAATAAGATTTAGTTTAGAAACATCTTATTTTTCATGCAAACGTTCAAGTAAGAGAGAGTTTTCCTGCTTTATTAAACCCTAAAGAAACACATGTGAGTTTACCAAGAAGGCATACAGTGTCTGTGCTTATGTAGAGGGGTTTTCAACAGGCAGCAGACACTAGGTGTTGAGCTTTTGCAGTGGAAAGGTGCTTTTTAATTTGATTAATATATTACCCCAGTCTAGCAGACAGACATGAACTAAGTTTTGTGGCCACTGTTGTTTTCTTCTTCTACTCAACATCTCAATTTGATTGGCTACATATCACCTAACTAGCTAGATATGATCCATCATCAGTTTATCTACTGATTATTTTCTTGAGAAACAGGTTTTTATAAGGACTTTTTTTTTTTGTTTTCCTAAATATAATATGACTTCAGGCTTTCCCGCGAAGTGTGTTGCAACTCACAGCGTTGCCTCTGGCTGTTTGTCGTTGTTATTTAATACCTTTTGTCGTGGCTCTCATTCTTTCATCAAACTATGTGGTATTACTTAGTGTTTGGTACTTGCCTGCTGAGGTGTATGGAGTTTGAGGCTTTCTTTTTAGAGAGGTAAACAGCCGTCTGCATACATTTTGATTGTGTCACAAGTCGTTTTTGTTGCTGTCATCGTTGTTGTCTTGGTTTTGTTTTTATAAATAAGATGGAGGGAAATCATAGTATTGGAAATAAAGAAGATAATTTGGGGCCGACTTTATACAGTGACCTTTTTCTTTTTTTTTTTTTTTCTTTTTTTTCTTAAATGCAAACACAACCCCAAACAGCTTAACTAGTCTGTCCTCTTCAGCTCTTCCCCTTTGGGTATATCAGCACACCACTGTTGTCTGTTGTAAATATGCAAGTCCCTTAAAGCAAATTACAGAAACATATGCTTCTTTGGGGTTTTGCAGAACAGCTGTGAGCCATTGCGTACAAACTACAGTCTTTTCAGTTGGGGGGGGGGGGAAATCATATGTTGCCCCATATACCGCGATGATGTGGCGTGGCATTGCTTCAGACTGAGGTGAGGGTGTGGAAGGAGGGTGTTGCTCCGAAAACCTGTAATGACATTCTAGCTGCAATCCCACCCAACATGGTTCCCATCAGACAGACTTTCACTTGTGGTAGAAATTCCCGCGCTACAGCGAATGCCTCGTCTGGTTTCAATCAAATCAGCTTCTGCTGCAACATGCACAATACATTTTAGAATACCAAGGACCGAGTTTGATTATATTCAGACTGTCTCTGCTAAAAAATGCATTTTTACAAAGCAATTTATTCTTCCTTATCGGGCACTTCTGGCACAGCAGCTTGGCTTGAGTCTTTGAGGACTTGACAACATTATTTCATGCTGAGCCAGGAGATGTCAGTCTTATAGTTTGCACATTTATCATTTCTATTTTTGCCTTGTTTTCATTGTGTTTCCCCATGATTTCTACGGTCGACAGCACTGCCGATTTCATGGGAGCTGCTTCTGTTCACCTGACAGCATTAAGACCCTGAGCACACGTTGCGTTTCACAATTATATTCTTTTCTCTACTTTTCATGTCCATCATACAGACATTATCAGAAAGAGATATGACACTCAAAGTATTCTGAATAGAAATTGTAGAGCTATGTTAACCTGACGATGTTTAACTTTAAAGTTAATTCTCCCAAAAAAATTAATTCTCTAAAAACAAAAAATTGCAGTTGTCCCACCCTCTGACCACATAGAGCCAATCAAAACTGATGCATGCACACAGTCGAGGTTCGCGACTTAGCTGCCACCACAGAGCTGGCAGGTATTTTGTTGTTAAGGTTGGGCTGTAGGTAAGTGTATTCAAAACATGACTTAACCCGCCTGGAAAACTTCCCAGATTCGTTGCCAAGATGCATGCCAAGAGGATGGATTTTGGAAAAAATAGAATATATTGCTTAGTCATCAGTCTGCACACAGAAGTTGTAGAGGGAGAACATACAATGATGATGAGTCGGCACTCCATATGGAGGTGTATGGCAGAGGTCCTGAGGCTGGAGCTGGCTCAGAATTGAAATTTATTTCAGTGTTTGAATAAAGGCCCAACAAATACTGTGTGCTGAACACACACAATTTCATTTTTTTTTCTTTTCTTAAAGTGTCCCTAACAGTCGGGCAAACATGAGTCATAGTAATGGAAGTGCTGGAGCTGATTCTCCTGTCTGGGGACCTTCGCTTCCTGTCACATCACGGTTTACTGTGTCCAGATTTCCTGCCTGCCTGAGAAGAGAAGATTAGAGAGCTATTTTTTTTCCTCTCCTCCTCTTATTTGCATCTTTGTCAGAAATACAACTCGGTGAACATATGTGCAATCATATGTGAGTCAATGTGAAACTGTAAATACACATTCATCCCTTTTATAAAAAAAATAAATAAATAAATAAATAAAAAAAGGTTTGTTGCTGTTGTTTGTTTAATGCTCAGCAGTGATTACTTTTTTTTTTCTTTTTTTTAAATGTCAGTCATTCACTGACAGGGTGATCCAAGCCACTGATTTCCAACCAGGGAAAAAGTACCAGAGGAGGTGTTTTTTTCTGTAGCACAATTTTAATTGAAAAGATGAGTGAACCTGAACAAATTTGGCCTGAGAAGTTAATTAAAAGTAATTAATAAATGCAGACAGAACAAAAGGTAAGGGGTGACTGGGTAAAATTGCTATTTAAAATGATGTTCAGAGCAGTTATTAAATTACAAATGAAAATTGATCAAAGTTCAATAATGACTGAAATGGCTAAAAGTAATTCCTAGAGACTTTGTGTAGTTAAAACTGTAACTGCTCAAAGCTTTAACATATCTGATAAACTCTCTGACAGTTTGACATGATGACAAATGATTAACATTATAAACAATTAGGAGTTAAATAACAGTTGATTGGAATTGCTTCAGAGCTGGGGGGGATGACGTTGTTCCTGTGGGGTTTGTCAGATTATAAAAAGGCTAGGGAGCACTAATCAAGTCCACCATGAAGGCCTCCATTGTTTCATCGATGGCTCTGAATCTGTGGTTGGAAACATCGAGCATTAACTGAGATTAGCAAACAAATCTTCCCTCAGCTCATTCTTTCCACATCGTGTTGTCTCATTGTCCTTTGAGGTCACTTGTGAACTGAGGTCGTGGAAGATGGTTCACTTTCTAATTAGCTATAAAGAGCACAATGAGGGGTTTGTTTTTTAACATTTGATACTGAGTTGTATGGGTTATGGTACATGTACCTCATGTGACTTTGTATCTGCGTGCAGAAATGCAACCCTATTATCCATGTAGCTGCAGCCTGGTAGCAGAGGGGTGGGTCACAGCTTTCTGCACTGGAATGTTCAGCAAACTCAGCACTATACACACACACACACACACACACACACACACACACACACACACACACACACACACACACAGCTTCTCAGCATCTGAATCTAGTTGACCTGTTCAAGTTGCACTTTTGCATAGAAACCTTGTGAGTAAGCCTCTGAGCACTCCAGTGTTGTTTATAACTTTCCTCTAATTAAAATATTGTGTCAAATCTGGAATAAAAGTTGTGTAAATGATTAGCAGGTGTTTCCCAGGACAGTTCGGGTCAGCTACATTTGTGCATCATTTGCACAAAGGTTTGTAACAGAGGTTTTGATAGTCTTTTTATCTTGTTCCGTTCCAGATTTATATTTTTGTTCTTTGACTAGTTTTCCATGATTCATACTTGCAAATAGTTATTTTTCTATGGGGCCTTGGTTTAACACATGGAAGATAAACATTTTGAACTGGTTTTCTTGTCACTAAATCTTTTTCTTTCTCTGTCTCGTCTCTTTCTTTGCAGAAGAGATAGACTATACCAACTTTGCCTCCAACACCATAACACGTAAGAAGAAGCCTGTGGTCGCGCTGCGCAACGACGTCAACCGCAAGCGTCCTCACATCCGCATCGGCATGCCACAGGACTTCCGACCCGTTTCCTCAATCATTGATGTGGACATCTTGCCTGAATCTCACCGCCGTGTCCGCCTGTATCGCCACGGTTCAGACAAACCTTTGGGCTTTTACATTCGAGATGGAGTCAGCGTGCGCGTGACTTCTCACGGACTGGAGAAAGTACCTGGCATCTTCATATCTCGGCTGGTGCCTGGAGGTTTGGCGGAGAGCACCGGGCTGCTGGCGGTTAATGACGAGGTGCTGGAAGTGAACGGCATTGAAGTGACGGGGAAATCCTTGGATCAGGTAACAGATATGATGATCGCCAACAGCCACAACCTGATTGTTACCGTCAAACCGGTGAATCAGCGCAACAACGTTGTCCGCAGCAGCAGGATCTCCGGCAGCTCGGGCCAGTCGTCCGATAGCAACGGCTCAACCGGTCACATGTATGTAAACATAGGGGGGATGCCACCTTCTGGGGCGCATGGTTATCAGGATGACCTGGAGAGTGACGAGGATAATGACGTCGTCATAGAGAAAAACATCAAGAGGCCATCTCAGAGGTCCAATGCTTCGCTGGCATCCAGTGCGTCCCGCACACAACACCAGAATCCGACCACCACCTCAGGCTCGGCGGCACCTCCGAGCCCTCCCACACGACCACTGTCGGTGGTCTCCACTGCTTCGTTCCACTCCCAGCAGAGTCTAAACGGAGGGTCCCACCACCACCAACACAGCAGCCTTAGCTACCAGTTCCACAAAGACCTTAACCTTCAGCACAACCCACACCAGCAGTCCCTTCACAGCCATCAACCCCACGCGCAGCTTCATCATACCAGCAACCCAGCCCTCCGCCACAGCAACGGCAGCCTGCACAAAATCCTCAGCTCACTGAAAACTGACCCACGAAACAGTCTCGCACTTCCCAGAGGAGGGGTGGAGGAGGACGGCACTGTCATTACCCTATAATACTTACAAACACAGACACACAAACATCCCGACTGCTCAGAGACTAAACTGGAACAGCTAAATAATGAGCATGTGCGTGTTTTGTCAGATACTAACTGTAACTTCTGTCTGGTTTTACAAAACCTTTGATGTTAGGAAGTTGCAAACAGGAAAGAGCATTGTGTACATATTTCTTGTGTTTGTTTTTTTTAAAGTCATCTTTATCATACATGAGAAAATGTGTATGTTTTGTAATAAGCATCAGAACAAATAACTGTTTTTAGGCGAGTCCACTATCGTAGTTCTGAATGTACCTACAGCCTCGTGTCTTTACTTAGTGACCACTTTTTATTAAGACCCTTTTCATTCTTCTTACTGGGACCAACTGGGGTTTGTTTATGTGGATGTTTTAAAGAGTAAATCTATATTTCTTATATTCTGATGAATGCTGTGTAGAGTGTTTTTGTTTTTTTTAATAGGTCTTTTATGCTTTATGATCAAATCCGTGTATCTGTTTCAATAAATTATTCTGTCTCACAATTATGCAAACTATAAATGTGATGTTTGCTCCACTACTTATGCACTTAATGGCTTCTAAATTGAGACAATCATTTCTGCATTTATGTAATTACATCTTTTTAGCTTGTTAGAGCTTTCGAACTACAACTGGTCACTTCATTAGCACACCTTATTGTTGTTTTAACTCCTTATTCATGGCACTGATTCACAGAGGTGCTCATTCCTCTGATATTTTGGTCAATATTGACCCGATAGCATCACATCATAGCTACAGATTTCTCGACTAATGTCATTATCCCATTCCACCACATTCTTAAGAATTGAGAGCTGATGACAATAGAGGCCATTTGAGTACAGTGAACTCACTGTCATGGTCAAGAAACCAGTTTGAGGTTTGATTTGAATTCTGACATGGTGTGTTATCCTGCAGGAAGCAGCCGTGGGTACAGTGTGGTCATAAAGGGATGGAGATGGTTGGCAACAACACTCAGGCTGTGTGTCGCTCTGCACTAAAGACCTCAGAGCATGCCAGGAAAATATACCCCACACAGCTACATCACCAGCTTGAGCATCTCTGAAAACAACATCATCTACACACCGTGGTTCTAACAAGTGATTTGTTACTACAACTTAGAGCAGTGTGACCATTCTCCTCTGACCTCTGACAACAACTCATTTTCACCCAGAGAACTGACACTCACTGGATTGTTTTATTTATTTTTGGGGGGTGTTTTCTCTGTAAACTCTAGAGATGGCTGTCTGGGGAAAATCCCAACATATCAGCAGTTTCTGGAATACTTAGACCAGCCCATCTAAGTATTTCAGCTATGCCACTTAAAAGTTACTTAAATCAACTTTCTTCTACATCCTGATGCTCTGCATGAACTTCAGCTGGTTTACTGACCACATCTACATGCAAAAATGGATATGAGTTATGTTATATACAATTTATATAGATATTTGCGCTAATGAGCAATAGTACAGGTGTACCTAATGAAGTGGCCAGTGAGTGTATTTGCTTTAAAATGTATTTTTGTACTAAACAGACACAAGATGCTGTTAAGCACAGATGACTGCATGAATTGTACTAAACAAAATGGAAAAATAAGTTTTGGTTTCAAACTAAAGGCCAGAAGATTTTCATTCAACTCAAAGCTGATGGTGAAGCAAAGAGGCTGACATTCCAGTTCAGAGTAACTAGGAACTCATAACCACACAGTGTGGCGTAAGTGGTGTGAATTTCTGGAGCACCATTTCTGAAGCTTAAGTAAAAGTAATCTTGACTCGTGTAAAACCACAAAGACTTGTGGCTATTTAAAGGTGATGAGTCTGTAGTGATGTCATCTGCACCTCATTCAAGTCATTAAAAGCTACAGTGAAAGCCACAAATCCTAGGCTTTTAGAAAGCAGTAGTCAGGCTGAAGGAGAAGATAAGAAATTAAGGTCTTGTTTCACAAAATAATTCACTTTAGACATCACAAAGTCAAGATGTAGACTATCTGAAGGTTGAATTCCTTGAGTCGGGCACAGCTTTATCATCATTTTGCTTTTGGCTACAGCCTGTGCTTCCAACCTAGATATGCAACTGGAATGCATGTCAGAGGCCCTCCGGCAGCAAACATCTTTCACTTCACTGCTAATGAATATTTTCCTCCTGTGTTTGTTCAGGGTGCCACACTGCTCATACATCTAATAGATCCTTCACACCCAACTAGTCAGCACTGTCAGTCAGCAGACTGTGGGTTTAGCCGGAGACCTGAAATCCTAACTGTCACGCAATCAGTCTTCACTATCTGTGTCCTTTTATCAGAGTCAGCCGAGGAAGGGCAGTTACAGTTAGAAACAGTTATGTTATGTTCCCCACATGTGATACAGATGTTCAGCTGATAGAATATAGGATTCAAGCGCACACCGATTAAAGCCGACAAACTCAAAATAAACAGACGTGGCCGCCTTAATGCTTTCTTGGACATGAACACGTCCAACTGAAGATCTGAGGTTCAGAGGGAATTATTGGAAACGTCTGCACAAGCCTGACGGATTTGACAGGTAATCCTTTTCATTGGATACTTTGTATGCTAAAACGTGTTAAACCCCTTTGATCATAGACAGATTTTTTTTTTCTGCATACAAAACATGTTGACCTGCGTCAGACATCTGAACTCCCCCAAGTCCCCATGCCGTATTTCACTCTGCCACATGCTGGTCGACACTGGAAAAACACGTACTGAAATGTTAAAAGTTACTGTTGTATTTTATCAGACCAGACAATCTTTTTTTTTTTCTATTGCAAGAGTCCTTAGTGCTTGTTGAAAAAAAAACCTACAGCACTTTCCACAACATAAATATTTAATCTTTTCCCAAAAGTAAACTACACTTGCCTCTTTTCAATGCTCTCGGTGTCAAATCATACAAGTTCATCCATGTAGAATTCGATTTTAGAAATTATTTGCTAACAGGGGTGTCACATCTGATTATGCTTATGCTTCTCACTGGCTACCCAACTGCCACCGATGCCCCTCCCAAAAATGGTGGCACATACAGGAGGTCGGTGGTCTGATCCCCAGCTCCTGCATCCGTATGTTAAAGTGTCCTTGGGAAAGATAAATACATACATACCATATGAGTTTGCATGTGTATGAAAGAGTTAAAGATGTATCTGTGCAGCTTCCAGTGTATGTTTATGTAGAGGGGAGAAGACTTGGATGGTAAGACAAAATTATAAGTTCTCACAGTGGATTAGTAGATAGTTGTGATCACTGCTGTGAAATTCTGCTTAGGGTTCAGTATTGTGTGATTAATCTTACTAACTTGATAGCGGAGCACCACAGTGGTGCATCAGCGCACAGGTTTAAACCTGTCCAAAGACCCCGTCAGGTTAATTGGGGATTCTAATTGGCTGTTGGTGTGATGATAAATGGTTATCTGCCTTTCTATGTTAGCCTGTACCCAGCTTTTCACCCAATTTTAATGTTATGTCCAGTTTAGGCAGTTTAGATTAGGCTACCCAAACCAACTTGGCGACCTACAGAAAATACTCTAAGAGTGGATCAATGACTCCCCCAGGAGGTCACAGAATTACCCAGAAGAAGAACTGCAGGTATCACTTGCCTCAGTTAAGGTTAATGTTCATGATTTAACAATAATAAAGAGACTGGGGGAAAATTGCATCAATAGGAGAGTTTCAAGGAGAAATCCACTGCTGACCAAAAACAACAGAAAGGCAAATTTGCCAAAAAGCAATTTGATGATCCCCAAGACTTTTGAGAAAATATTCTGTGAACTGACAAGAAAAGGGTTGAACTTTTTTGGAAGGCCCGTTACATCTGGTGTAAAACTCGCATTTGAAAAAAAAAAAAGAACATCATACAGACAATCAAAAGTATTGGTGGTAATGTGATGGTCTGGGTCGGCTTTGCTGCTTCAGGATCAGGATTGATGGAAACATGGTAAATGGTAAATGGACTGGTTCTTCTACATATTGTCTACCCAAGTATGAATTTTGCGCTCTACCAGAAAAATGTGAAAAAGCTTAATGCCCTCATACTCAAATCTGGCAGCAGGACAATGATCCAAAACACACCAGCAAGCCCCCCTCTGAATGGCTTACAAAGAAAACCAAAAAAACAAAACAAAATTAAGCTTTTGGACTGGCCAAATCAAAGTCTGGACTTAAATCAGATTTTGATGCTATGGCATGACCTTAAACAGGACATTCATGCCTGAAAACCCTCCAGTGAGGCTGAAATAACCACTGTGGTGCGGATGACACCACAGTGGTTGGACTCATCTCAAGGGGGGATGAGTCAGACTACAGAGATGAGGTCAACAGACTGACTGAGTGGTGTTCAGTTAACAACCTCCAACTGAACACCACGAAAACTAAAGAACTTATCTTGGACTTCAGGAAGGGCAGAGCAGACCCGGCCCCACTTTACATTCACGGGAACTGTGTGGAGAGGGTACACTCCATGAGGTTTCTGGGCGTGCAGATCTCTGATGACCTCTCCTGGACTGCAAATACTACGGCGGTGGTTAAAAAGGCCCAGCAGCGTCTCCACTTTCTGAGAGTGCTCAGGAGGAACAACCTGGAGGAGAGGCTGCTGGTGACATTTTACAGAGCCACCATAGAGAGCATCCTAACGTACGGCATAACAACATGGTATGCAGGGTGCTCAGCTGCGGACAGGAAAGTACTGCAGAGGGTCATCAACACAGCCCAGAAGATCACTGGCTGCTCTCTGCCCAGCCTGGAGGTCACTGCAAACTCTCGGTACCTCAGCAGAGCTGGCAATATCATCAAGGACCACTCTCACCCCAGCAACCAACTGTTTGAACTATTACCGTCAGGCCGACGGTACAGGTCACATAAAACCAGGACAAACAGATTCAGGGATAGCTTCTTTCCCAGAGCTATCACCGTAGTAAATAAGCACAAAAACAATTGAACCTATTCCATACCGTCACTGTCATTATATTAATGCTGCTATCCTGTATATATTGTACATACTATTGTTTGAGTACTTACGATTGTTTTTTTGTACTTTTTATATTTTACATTTATATTTATTATTGAAACTTGCACCAAGGGAGTGGCACTCCAATTTCGTTGTACTCTGTACAATGACAATAAAGGCTATTCTATTCTATTCTATTCTATTCTATTCTATTCTAAATAAACAAATTCTGCAAATAAGAGTGGGCCAAAATACTTTCACAGAGATGTGTAAGACTCGCTGCCACTTAGCACTAAGGCTTGATTGCAGTTCTTGCTGCCAAGAATAGCACAACCAGTTATTAGGTTTAGGGGAGATTCCTTTTTCACACAGGGTCAGGTAGCTTTTTTTCCTTAATAAATGTAATCATAATTTTAAAACTCCCTTATTTTATTCACTTTGGATATCTTTTTCTAATATTAACATTTATTTGATAATCTGAAATGTTTAAGGGTGACAAATATGCAATAACAAAAAACCCAACAACAACAACTAAGAAATCAGGAAAGGGGCAAATACTTTTTCATTGCACTATAACAAATCTCATTGCAGTTATCTTTTTTTACTTGAAGTGTTCAAGTTATAAGTTTGCCTTATAGTTAAAAGCACGAACATTTAAGAGTAAAACCTCTAAAATTGATCCAGTGGTTGGAATTCTGTTGTAAAACTGCCTAAGATGAAAATGATGGGAAATAAACTGAAAAACTTTGATAATTTTTAAAACTCAAGCGGCTAATGGAATTTATTAATTTTGATGCATGAATCCAAAGGGGCAGACATGGAAAGAAATGGCGCTTGTATCCACCATTGAGAATGTATTCCATTATATTCTATTTATTTATACTGTACTTTTCTTTATTTACATTTTCCGTTTTCTGCTGCACTAAAAACACCTTAGTCCCTTACGAGCTTCCGTCCATTGTGCGACACACGTGATCTAGTCATTTGACAAGGCAAAACACGGCAGTAGATCAGAAAGACAAGCGACATGGACCATCAACGGGTTGACAGGGTGGGCCTGCTGTCTCCCCTGGAGGAGTCCAGCGCTGAGATCAGCACAGACAGCGGAATCGTCTCTCAGAGTGCGAGCAGTTTGTCGATGGTGAGCGAAATCCTCAGCAGCGGGACGGTGTCGCAGAGCCCCAGCTTTGGAGCAGCGGCGGGGGCAGGAGTAGCAGGAGCAGCTAACGTTATTTCTCAAAGCCCGAGCCTCGATGAAGCTGCAGAGCCCGGGACAACCGACAAGCACGACCCAGAGCAGGACGACGAGGTGCTGAGGCACACCGCGCTCAGCTACTCCTCCTACATCAGGGCGACAGCAGGAGACGAGGTGCGTGCTGTTATATCAGCAGCTAAGCTATGTTTAGCTCTTTGTTTATGATTTGACTGTCAGTACCGCAGCAGCCCTACACAGTCTTCCTGTAAACGAAGTGTTCCACTTTCATTATGAGTACCAAATAAATTGGTTTACATCGTCTCCATTAAGGACTATATGTCTTATTCTACCTAACATTTTCTTATACAACAAGAACGTTACGGTACAAGAAAGTTTCACGTTGCTTTTGTCAGTAACTAGGACGGTGTTGGCAATGACAGTTGCTAGGCGACACGAAAGTAGTGATAGGATTGGCTTTCCTCTTACATCAGCTGGCCTGTAAAGATGTATTGCAGAGGTTTATGTCGGAAGTCCCAAATTAGGCCAACTAATTTCAAAAACAGGTACAAAGTAGAAAGAATTGTGTTTTAAATGCTCTACGAGTGCAGTGACGTAGTGCGGTCCACCAGCACCACATACTAAGACAGTGGCCCACATTTTACTGGGTTTAATGAGTCTCACAAGAAATATGCAGCCCCAAAAAGACATGTACCTGCACGGACTCTACTCAAACCAAAAAATTATAGGCTGTCAGAACAGCAGCTGGAGTAACAATTTAGCCCCTGATGAACTTTGATAGAAAAAGGGGAAACACCAGTATAAGTAGACCTTCGCAAACATTGAAGCTTACTTTTTAAATTGCATTAACGTCGAATCTGGCCTTCACATGACTTATGCCTCACCATTAACCGACAGGAAGTATGCTCTGGGGAGAAAGGGGATGAAAGTCAATGAAATCAAGACAGAATACATGTGTGTGAATGAGAGAGAAAGTGTAAATGTGAAGCTGCAAGGAGCAGAGATCGTGAAGGTGGATGAGTTTAAATATCTGGAGTCAACCATCCAAAGCGATGGACAGGGCACAAGTGAGGTGAGGAAGAGAGTATGGGGGAAGTAGATAGAGACAAGTGTCAAGAGGATAGCAGCAAAAGTAAAAGAAGATTTGCGAGGTGCTGCTATGATTTATGGTTTGTTCAGTTTGCCTCTGACCCAAAAAAAAACAGATGACAGAGTTGAAGATGTTCAGATTTTCACTGGGATTGAGCAGAATGGACAAGTGTTTCAGAGGGACAGCGCAGGTTGAGGAATTTAGTAGTAAAGTTTGAAGGGCTAGAGTTTGAGATGTGTAGAGATGGGATAGAGGATATATTAGACAAAGGATGCTGAATATGGAGGTGCCAGGCAGGAGGAAAACCACAAAGATGATTCGCTGCTGCCAGAATGATTGCTAGAGCATCTGATGGCAGGAAAAGTTTCTGAAAAGTCATATATTTACAAGCTTTTAATTCTAACTCGAGGGGCTTGAATCTGGGTGAAGGTGCGAGTAACTGCTGTTAAGGTCAAAACTGGGTTGTGGGATTTTTCATGTCACTTCAAAAGTCATTAGAAGAATGGCCTGAGAACTGATTCAAG